TTTTTCCCAGATGAACTACATCAAGTCGAAATACAGGGCAAATTTATCCGATGAACATTTAAAGTCGCTACTTGTGATTAGCGTTTCAAAATTTGAACCTCAATTTAATCAGATTTTAAGAATGCAAAAAGAGTTCCATCTTTCACATTAATTGTTTTATTATAATTTGTGATGAAAATATGAGCATTTGCTGCTACTGTCTGCTGTCATTAATATATGATAATTTATTCTCACGTACTTTGTATTTAGTTTATGAAATTCTGTGCTTTCAATAAAACTCATATACCTGGAGTTATTAATTTCTCATTTTATCCGGCCCGTTGATACTGCTGAATTACCTAATGTGGCCCGCGTTAGGAAAAGTTTGGAGACCCCTGGTCTAGATAATGTGGGACCCTCAACGTCTCACAACCCTCTAGGCCTTCACGGCCTGTTACAGGGATAGCTTCACTTTTATTTTTACTTTTATCCTTTCAGGTCAGTGTCCTGCAAATTGTCCTGTCATCCATCTTACCTAACTCCTGTTTAGTTTTAATAGTTCCTTAGTTCTTTTAGAATAGGGACCTTGTAGGAAATCCTTTGTATGTCAAAAGAGTCTTTCGTGAACTCCCATAATGACACTTCAGTAATTATCACTGGACAATATTATTCCAACTGAATAAAAAACAACACAAGTCCTGAATTTGAAGAAGCAAAGACAAAATCTGGTGTAACAAGTTTGTAAATGCACGAATTAGCGTAATAATTCCCACACATTCACTATGTTATTGCCTCTAACGCTTCTACCTGCCCCACAATAAGTGTAGGGGACATAAAATGGGTGCTTCATTTTTTCTGCAACTTTCGATTGAAACATTCTTCACTCTTAATAACATTTTGTGAATTAACGTGTAAGATGCTCTCAGAAGAAGATGAAAAGCCAGCCTCAGGAACAAGACACGTTACAACTGGTGTCAGAAGTGGGATTTGGACTTACAAGTGACCGACAGGATTCGAACCGAAACACGTTACATTTGGCGTCAGAATTGATTTACGAACTTGAACACGCCTCGATAAATAATTTAAT